TTTCAAATTGCATTAAATTTGAAAATTTCAATTGTATTAAATTTAAAAATTTCAAATAATTTATTTCAAATAAATAATAAATATCATTTAATAAAATGATTGAAATTATCATTTTAAACAAATAATAAAAAAATCATTTAATCAAAATAATAATAATATCAATCATTTCAAATAAATAATGAAAGAATCATTTAATTAGAATAATAAAAATATCATTTTAAATGAACAATAAAAGAATCATTCAATTGGAATGATAAAATATTATTTTAAAAAATGATAAAAAAATCATTTAATTAGAATAATAAAATATTATTCTAAATAAACAATAAAAGAATTATTTTTTAAAATAATAAAATATTATTTTAAAAGAATGATAAAATATTATTTCAACAAATGATAAAAAAAATATTTAATTTAGAAAAATAAAATATTATTTTAAATGAATGATAAAAGAATTATTCAATTAGAATAATAAAAATATCATTCTAAAAAAATAATAAAAGAATCATTTGATTAGAATGATAAAAAAAGTGTTTATTTGAAATAATTCAAATTATTATTCTAAATGAATAATAAAAATATTTATTTAAATAAAACTATTAAAATTATTGTTTTAAATAAATAATAAGAATATCATTTAATTAAAATGATCAAAATTATTTTTTTAAATGAATGATAAAAACTTCATTTAATTAGAATTATTTAAAATTTTTATTTTAAATAAATGATAAAAATATTATTTAATTAGAATAATCAAACTTATTATTTCAAATATATAATTTAAATTAAATTAAACCATTTAGAGTATTATTTAACTATTAATTTTACTAATTTTGAATTTATATCAATTAGATATTAATTAGTTATAATAAAATAGGTTAAAATTTAGTTGATTCTCAATGTATATCAATCAGCTATTAGTATGCCAATTGATTATAAATAATATAAGTCAAATTTAGTTGATTTTTGATTTTTTGATTGATTTCTGATATATGCCAATTAGTTAAACTGATTTTTGATGATTTACTAATTTTAGGTAAATTTTTTATATATCTATTTTTTTAATTTTAGTTATTAAAATCTATTTATTAAGAAACAAATAATTTGAATAATAATAATTTAACCCTAAAACTTAAAATATTATTTTAATAATTAATATAAAATAAACTGATTAAAATAGAAAAAATTATAGCTTGGTATTTTGTAACTTTATTTTTCAATTTCATATATATTTATTATATATTTTATTATTATATTTCTAAAGTTTACTTATACATATTTATATAAAAAATAAATATATATAATTAATTAATAAAGTTATATAATATAATATAATATATATTAGTAATTAAATATTATTTATTGAAGTAGTTAGTTAACTAAATAAATTAAAGCTATATATAATTATTTAACATTTAGTTTAAATTAATTTTTTTGATTGAAAATTTGATAAACATAATATTAATTTATATTTTTTAGATATTCATATTGAAAAATAACTTCTTTTTCAAACTAACTTATTTTTATAAATTATAATTATAAATTATAAAGTATTTATTTACATTAACTAATAAACTTTTACATTTAATAAATTTAAAAATTTATCTTTCATTAAAATTTGACTTTAAAAATATATATTAGATAGGTACTTTATAAGTAAGTTTATATTTTATTATCAGATTGTATTAATAATATTTATATAAATTATATATTTATATATTTAATTTTAACAAAAAAAATAGGTATTTATAAGTTATATAAATATCAGATTTAATTAAAAAAGCAAATAATATAGATTTTGAAAAATATTAATAAACTTAACTATCTAATCAAATAATATAAAAATCTATAAATAAAAAGATAATCTATTAATAATAAATATAATAAACACTATTAATATATTTTTTAGACTAGTCAAATAATAATAATTTAATTAAAATTATTAAAAGAATTGATATATAAAATTTTATATTTATATGATATATAATTTTAATTTATTTAAATCTTAATATTTATGCTCATATTTTTTTCTTGATAAAAAAATAACTTAAAATTTTATTTAGATAAAATGCATTTTAGTTACATAATTTTTATTTATTAATTATTTTATTTATATATACACGATAGCATTCTGGGGATTTGAGAACAGAATGTCTGTACCCTCAGAATGCTATTGTGTGTCTGTGAAAGATGTAAAATCAATATCAATTTTTTTTTTTATGATTTTTATTATATTAGAAAGGCTTCTAAAAGCTTTAGAATCTTAATTTTTATATCATTTTTTTGGTTATATTTATTAAGTCTAACTAAATAATGTGTATCAGGAATTAATTCTGCATGATTTTTCTTATTAAATTGCATATTAATTATTTAAGTCTAACAAAAATAAGTCTAACAGTCCTTATTACCTCATAAATAAGTCTAACGAAAAATTAAGTCTAACTAAAATAAGTCTAACAGTTTTGTCCTAACTTTTTCTTAATCAAGAATTACTTCCACAAGGGTTTACGTATTAATTAGCATATTGAAAAAATTATGTGACCTTTTAAATCTAACAAATTTTACTATAGACAAGAATGGCTTCTATACAAGCTAACTCATTAAATTGCATAATCTTTAAATAAATCTAACGAGAATTTTATTCTAACTTTTCCTTATGATTTATAACATTATGTGTTTGTAAGAGATGTAAAATCAATATCAGTTTTTAAGTTATATTTATTAAGTTTAACGAAAAAATAAGTCTAACAAGAATTTTGTCCTAATATTTCTTAATCAAAAATGGGTTCAATATAGGCTAGCATAAGATTGGCCAACATAAGTTCTTTCTCGTCGAAGTCTATCATAGTGTCAGGTAACATAATAACCTCTAATATGTAGTGGACATCGTCTACAAGCAGAGGCTGTAGGCTTTTCACAATCAGAACAAGGTATACATTTTTTAGCCTTTCAATGGAATCGACATCCTTCAGGCCTAGTACTAGCATTCTCACAAGCCTTTCCAGTATCACGAAGAAATGGACAAGAATATTTACCAATCATCTTACTTTTTTATTACTAGATTCAAAAAGATTAATTAATAATTAATTAATGCTTCAATTTTGCAATAGCTAAAACTGCTTGGAAAGCTTGTAAATACTTATCTTTAGTAGGGTTTCTATGATCAAAAAATGATAGATACATAGGAAATAAATAATTAAAGAAAAAATTATATAAGCAAGTAATAGCACGACGGTTAGAGTTAACTAATATACCAAATATCTAATGCTTACCCAGAATATATAGAAGAATTTAGTATAGAGATAGCTGATTTCAATCTGATTGGTCCTATCACCTATATACCTTTACCTAAAACTATACTAAAATGTAATAACAGAATTATTAATATTCAAAATAATGACAACTGGTGTTTTGGATGGTGTATCCTAGGAGCTTTGCATCCAGTTAAAGTTTATTCAGAAAGAAATTCGCATTAGCAATATGGAGATTTTGTGAAGGAACTTAATATGGATGATATCCTAATTCCAGTACCAGTCTCAACACCAATTTATAAAAAGTTTGAAGAAAATAACTCAGAAATCAGTCTATGTGTCTATGAATGACACAACCAAAACAAATGTTTTGACTTTCGCTATGTTATAGAAAGAAGAGGAGATGAATATAAGCAAGTAAATCTTCTAGTAATTACGAAAGAAGAAAGAAGTCACTACTGTATTATCAAAGATTTACATAAGCTGGTATATAATCATAGCAAGCATAAAGGATGAAAATATCTATGTCGTTATTATCCTCATGTATACTCTTCAGATATAAGATACAATGAATATTTGCCAAAATGCAAGGGTCTAAATAATGTCTCCTAGCGATCACAAATACTGGTGAAGAATAGGAGTGTCAAAGCTTTCTATAATCATAAATACTTGCAACCAATTTCATATCGCATTTTCTGGAATCTAGAAATGTTAACCGAAAAGTTAACTCCAGAAGAGAAAACGAAATTAACTTCTATTGAAAAAATATAGATGTATAAGCTCTATAGTTATTCCTACATAGTTATTCAAATGGACAGTTTACTTAAGTATGAAATCATGAGTCACAATTTATATAGAAGCCCAGATGCGCTTGAAAAATTTATTATAAAAATAGAGGAGGAGATGGTAAACATATAGGAAAACTTATCAGCTCTAGCTGAAATGATTATGGCACTAGGAGATCTTGAAATATACAAAGAAGCAACTGAATGTTGGATTTATAAAAACCCTTTCCTTAAACTATCGCCAGAAGCAAAACAGGCATTTCATGAAGCAAAATGCTATTTGTTAGAGATTATGGAATGGGAGAAACATATGGAAAAAGAACATTCAAAAAAGAAAGAGACATAAAAGGAATATAGTAAAGCTTTAAGTGGGCTCAATTGTAAGGTTAAAGACCATGACCATATAAGTGGAAAATACTGAGGACCTGCTTATAATTCCTGCAATAAAAATTACAAATAGGATCTTTTGAGACAAAAGTACCTCTTATCTGCCATAATTTCTGTGGGTATGATTCTCATCCGCTTATGAAGGTTATTACTAAAATGTATTCCAGAAAATATAGGAAAGTATAAAGCCATGAACGTAGAACAGCTTCGGTTCTTAGATAGCTTCCAGCATATGGCAATGGGACTTGATAAGTTAGTAGCATGTTTAGGAGAAAAATCTGAAAAGTTTCCCCTAACTGTTAAGTACTTTACAGAGAAAGGATATTCACTAGAGAAAATTAAGCTTCTTTTCTGAAAAGGAGTATTCCCATATGATTGGACAAATTCGTGAAATAAATTCGACAGAATAAGCTTTCCATTTAGAAAGAACTTCTATTTACTTCTTAGTTAGCAAAATATTACTAAAAAGGATTACGAACATGCTCAAAAGGTATGGCAAATATTCGAGATGAAGAACTTTGAAGAATATCATGATCTTTATCTTGAGACAGATATACTTTTACTTGCAGATGTTTTCATGAACTACACTATCATATGTTTGCAAGATGATGGTTTAGATCCCTTCCACTATATTTTCATACCAGGAATGTTCAATGACTCACTATACAAAAGTAGTAGAGCAGAACTTAAGCTTATGACAAATATGGATGAATATCTAATGATAGAAAATGGTATTCGTGAAGGCATGATAATGACAAGTCATTGATACGCTAAAGCAAATAATCCACAACATTCAGACTATGAGTCCAGTAAGCTGAATTCTTGAATCATGTATGAGGATATGAATGCTTTATACTCAGGTGCAATGACCCAATACATGCCTACAGAAATTTTAGGTAAAGTAACACCAGAGAAAATACCAGATATTCAAAGCATAGTGTCAGATGCAGAAATAGGCTATACACTAGAAGTTGATCTAGAAATCCCAGTGCACTTGCACGATTTCTTTACAGATTATCCATTAGCATCTGAAAAGCAGATAGTTTCAGAAAACTGGCTTAGTCTATATGACAAAAGATTAGTGAAAGATAAAGAAGTTGGAAATGAAAAATATGTGTCTGGAGAGAAGCTAGTTCAGACTCTCTTTACTAAGAAGAATTATATAATTCACTATTGAGCTCTTCAGACATATATGAAGTTCAGGATGAAGGTTACAAAGATTTATGATGCTCTTAAATTTTGACAGTCTCTATGGATGAAAGATTATATTGAGAAAAATATTTGCAAGCGTAAAATTGCTAAAGCTAATGGGGATGAGTTTGGGGTCATGTATTATAAGGTAAAGAACAATGCAGTCTTTGACAAATAAATAGAAAATATTCGTAAACATATGAGAGTGAAATTACTATGAATAGAAGAGAATAAAAAAATCAAGCGCCTAGCAAGTTCACCATTATATATAGGCTTTAAAGCATTTGAAGGGGGGATTACAGCAGTCTATATGTTAAAAAGTACAGTAACTCTAAACAAACTAATCTATGTAGGGCAGGCAATTCTCGACATTAGCAAGGCTATGATATTCAACTTTTGGTACAGTTACATAAAGCCTCACTATGGAGATAAGACCCATCTACTTTATACAAATATAGACTTGCTTATAATGTAAATAAAAACTGAAGACATTGTCACTGTAGAATTCTTCAATTCAAGGTGGTCACGTTATCAAGTCTCTACTTGAAATTACTAACTGCGGTTTACTACAGTTAAGACGTTAAGATCTGCCTAACTCTTAACTTTACTAGATTTACGCGTTAAATTTAAATGAATCTATCAAGTATGAAAACTTGAAAGATGAGATTAGTGACAATTTTAATTAAAGAATTCAGATGACGAACTCAATTACAAATAATGTGTAGGGATCACGTCAGACTATATGAAG